CCTGACAGTCTCACTGCACAGCTTGCTCTTTCACTCCTGTTTAAGTACTTTCGCCCTGTTGCGATGGAGCTACTGCCAGGGCTACTGAAGGAATCGTTGGACGTGATTGCCAACGAGCACGTCCGGTGTGCTGTGGGCGTGAACTTACAGGGCGAGTGGCTGGATCGGTATCTCGTTCCCGTCCGCACCAAAGGGCACTTTGGCTCTCACAAGGAGGAGTGGCTGGTGATGTTCAAAATGGGGTACTGCTGGACGGCGGCGAAGCAAGAGGTGTACGCCAAGTCTATTAGCCGCAGCTTATCAAACAAGTCCCTTGGCCGCTACTGTACGGTGGAACACCTTTCTGTGCTGAGAACGTTGTACAGCGCCAATGTGACGGAGGCTATTGCTCCTTACATCAAAGAAGACTACAATTTTGAGTATTTGCGGGACAATGCCATTGAACTTCTTGGTAAACTGGACGATGCGGCATCGTTTAAGGCGCTCACAGATGCCTTCAGCGATGAGAGGGTACGCGTGGCCATTTACGCGATTCGACGTCGCCTTCGCGACCTCCCAACGTCGCGGATTATTGAGGTGCTTGATGCACCATTGCACTCCAAACTGGTGGCCGTGCAGAAGGTGGCCATTCGGCACATTGCCGACTTTGGCGATGAGGCGGCCTACGCCGTGCTGCACCAGCTGCGGCAGGGCACAATCCTGCACCCGGATGTGGAAGCTGAGTGGCTGCGGGCCATGTTCCGTTTCCTGGAGATGCGGGAGACGTGGGACGTTCTCCTTTCCGCGGCGAAGAGCAGCAGTTGCGTGGTGGCTATGACTCTCACCGGGGTGCCGGACGACACTCTGGTGGAGGACTGGCAGCACGTTTGTCTCAACCATCTGTTTGCCCAGCTGCTGTCGCACGAGGACCCTTGTGTGGTTTTGACGCTCCTCAAGCGATTGGAGAAGCGGCCGCTTCGTCGGGATGCCGAGGTGGTGCCCTCGCTGTTCCACCTTTTGAAACTGCTCCCCAATAAGGAGTTCCTGGGACCAATTGTTTGTGCGCTGGCCTCCTCTTCCGCCGATGTGAATGACGTAGCCTCAGCCTTTGTGAGTGTTCGGCCGCAGTCGCAGCTGCACACTATTGCAGACGTCATTGTCAAGTTACCTTGGGAAGATCATGGCCGCTTTGAGTCCATCGCTGTCGCGTTCTTCAATGCCCTATTGGAGAACCGCTGTCAGGCTGCGGCGGCGTGTCGACTCATCTGCAAGCTGCTGAAGGACTTCATGCGGCACCTCAATGAGGTTCTCGAGAAGGGTCTGCTGCACGCCGGCGCGGTACATGAAATACTGCAACGCTTGCGGTGCAGCGTCGAGGATGTCGCTGTCTGTGACGCTGCAGAGGAGCAACTGCGGCACCATGCAAACCCCTACATGCAGCGCATTGGACTTGAGATGCTTCGGTTGGCCGCCTCCTCCTCATGTTGGAATGAGAGACGCCGCAAGGCGCTGGGAGTCTACTGCAACGCCAGTGATGCATGGGTGAGGGATGATGCAAATATGTTAAACCTTCCAGCAGAATGATGCTGGGTTACTGCCGGGAAGAGCAGAAGAAAAGAGGGGGACAGGACGCGGTGGAGAGGGAATGATTTTTTGGGGACAGACAAGCAGGACGATGGAGGCACGCCAGGCAAAGATATACATGCTGCGTATAGACAACAAAGTGTGTTTACTACGTGCATCACATTCCTTTGCCGCGGTGGAAACGCGGTAAGTACGCATTTGTTTTTCTTAAGCACGTACTTATATACATTTATACGTGCATATATGCATGTGTCCGCGCATGACGTTGAAGATGTGCGTGCGTGTGCGTGTGTGATGCGGTTCCGCGATTAGCTTTTTTTGCGCGGTTTCACCGCCGTCGGTGAGAGAAGCAAAAGAAAAAAGGGGAAGCACAAAAATGTGCTTCTCTTCCACTTCAGACGGGTGCGTTTTTTTTTTAGTTT